AAAACTCATGAGTTCCCGTTACCTGATGCCATACGACCCTTTAACTTCACTAATAGTTCTGGTCTTAGATATGAAGCAATGGAAGTTAGAGAATGCCTACAGAAAGGTATAGTTACGTTTTTAGGTTGTTTAAATATGTTCAAGTCATTTTAATGTTAGTAAATGCATAAGATTTATCACTTGACAAGTCAATTAATTTTGCCTACTTGAGACTAAATGTGCTTGAAGTGCATTTTAAAAATCTTGTAATTTATTTATTTTTTAGATAAATTTTTATGGATGTGCACTAAAATAGTATCTCAAAGAAAATAATTAGAGTTCATATAGTAAATTCATAAACAGTTTTGAATTTTGAGATAATAGTGTGAATTTTTGCACTTAATTGAAGGCATTTTTACACAACAGAAACAAGTAGTATTTTAATGCTACTCAATTAATATAGTATATGTAATTCATTAATAATTTTACTAACACATAGTTCTCATTTTTGTATATAATTAATAAAATGATTTTTTTCTTCAGAAGCTATTCCGTTTAATTAGATAGCGATTTGAATTTGGGAAAACTGTTAAACTTTGGGAAAAGTGTTAATTATTGTTTCAGAAAAATAGTATGTTTATAGATCATTGGAAATTTGACTAAATAAAATTTTACCAACTTGTCAAAATTTACAAAAAAAAAATTCTTTGTCTACATTATGTTTTTTAATTCATTAAACTACTTTATTGTGTCTTTTAGGCAATAAAATAGTTTAATGAGTTTACATCTACTGCAAGTGAGATAATATTTCATAAATTATTTTCATCCATCTATTTTAACATTGACTAAAATTTAGTTGTTCTAATAATAGTCTTTATCTATAAAACTAAAACAAAATTTAAACTATTTTTATTTTCCTAAAAAAAATTATGAACCTTCGAATTTATTTAAAATTAATAAAATTTGTTCATTTTATAAACTTAACCTACAAGAAGCCATATTTAACTGTGGTAATTATTATAATAAAAACAAATTGTCTATAAATTGTTTAGTAGTTGCAAATATATTATAAAACGACTCACTTAGTATTTAAATGTATACTGTATTATTTTTTTAAATAATAAAAAAATAGGGTGTAAAATTATTGGGATCAGTATATATTCATATAGTTTCTATAGACCTGGATTCATGGGAAATTTTAATTTAGGCTAGTTTGGCTGGTTGTTACAAATTCTGCTCCTGACTTGCTCTGACCACAGTGCTGACATTAAATATCCTGAAGACGGATTATAAATCGTATCTTCTTGCCATTAAGCTAACCATGGGAGGTTTTTAATGTTTTCCTCTCCGTGTAACACAAATCTTCCAAGATGCTTTTCCCAATGCTTGATAGAAGAGTTCCTTTGTCTTCTGAGTTAGGTTCAAAATTACAAGATTATGGAGTTGAACATTGTTTGTTCTAAACTCAGAATTGGGTTGACTGTTCAGCGCTGATTATATAAAATAAAATAAATCTCACTTTTGCAAATATGTTTTAAATAAAAGTTAAGATAATAATAATCATATCATCCTTCTTGNCTTGTGATTACTTTTATTAAACTTCAAATGTTGTATTTATTTTGTTTTTATTAGCAATTGATAAACTCAAATGTTGTATTTATTTGGTTTCAAAAAGTAATTTTAATTTTAGGAAAACTGGAGAGTTCTATTTTACCTCTTAAAGATTCAGAAACTCATGCAGAATTAATGGATGAAATCCGTCACCAAATTGGCTTTTATTTTGATGAAGATTAAATATACTATTTTACCTTAAGTGTTTGGAGCTATATTTAATATTGTAAAAATATAGATATATTTCACATATCTTGCTTTAATATTTTCCTCTAAAGATTAAGTATGTTTTTTTTATACTTGAAAAGTTTAACTGTTAAAGCTATTTTTATAACTCAGTCTCATGAATTATGAAATATTTTTATACATTGTTTACATCGTATTATTTTCTAAAGTTTATTCAAAAAATTATGAAAAAATTGTCATTGTTGATAAATGTTCAAATAAATTATAAATATTATTTTGTTACTTGTTTGTTATGATTGAATTAACTTAAAGATAATTCAAGACATATTTTTTTTTTATGTACTAAAAGTAAAATGATTTGTACACTCCAATTTTTTATAAATGCTGACTAGTGCTATTATTTGTTTAGGGTTTGAAATAATATTTCACTGTCTGCATTTGATTTGAAAGGAACTCTCCAAAAATATCAAAAGACAAACAAAAATTGCTAAAGAATGCGAAGACCATCTTCAGTTAATGTATATGAATAACAGAACTAATCCAGTTCTGGAGAGAATAATATCAGTCAAAACATTTAAGTGAAGAAAAAAAAACTAATTTTTTGAAACAGTTTAACCCCCCCCCCCCTTTTTTTTTAGCTTATTCCATTTAGACTATTTTTTACATATGAATATGGTTTTAATGAGATAAAAATATTTATTTTTTTTGTAACTATCTCCTGAGGATAGATATAATTCTTTTTTTGTATATTGGTTTCATTAAATAAAAATTTTTAATCAGAAATAATGCATTAAATAGCTATAAACCACATTTTTGTTAAACTAACAGAAGATGAATAACAAGAAATAAAAGGAATAGATGGTATGTAACACACAGATTTTAAAAAATTGTTTGTTGTATGAAATTTACAAAATTTTTTTTTTCACTTATTGATTTATTTAAGAAAATATGACTTATTTCAGTTGCTTTCCTATTTTAAAACAATTCATATTATGCAGTGTACCATAAAAATAAGTGATTTTTAGGATGGTCTTATAATTTTGTAACACACGGTATGTTTACATTTTCACAGAATTTATAAATTAAATTTAATTAAATATAAATAACAGGCATTTTTATGAAGAAAAAAAATTTGAAATTTACAACCTCAATTGTTCTTAATTCCCTTTGGGTCAAGTTAACTTGGTTTCTTTAGAGAAATTAAGGGACTGTAAAGTTGTCCCAAAGAGCTATTTTACTGTTAAAAATGGAGGCTAATAATATTTATGTCATAAATTTTATTTATCAAATTATACTCACTATCAGCAATTTTCAAATTTTTTTTTACTTATAGTCTACTTAATTTCCAAATATTGTCACAGTTTTCTAACTATGCAATCCTATAAGCAAAATTTAAAAGAAAAAAGGAAATTTGAGTAAACAACGTAATGATTGGATTGAAAGTGAGCAGTAACTAAAGCATATTATTTTATTTTTTTTAATGTATAAAATTATTTTTTCATAACATAATGTTCACCTTTAGAGACAGTTCTTGACTCCACACAAGTACTTTTATGCATACAAACTATTAAGTAATTTTGCATTTATTTTTTATAATATGATGAATGGCAGCACTTATCCATTTATTTCAAGCCTCGCTAAAAAGAATTTCTTGGCAACTTCTAGAACAAATATGTTACATCTGTTTAATTTCCATATTTTTATCAGTATTAAGTAAAATTTTTACTAATTTAATAATCTGAATGCTTTTTTATGCATTTCAAAATTTTTTTGG